CCAAAAGCAGTTCGCGGTCTTGGAAGACAAGGTAGAGGGCATGCTGCAATGCATGACCCAAGTCGTTCGACAATTCGAGCAACAAGAGTCCGACGAGGTACCCCTTGTCAGAGACTCGAGAAAAGGGAAGGGCCCAGCGCTAAGCGAGACTGAGGAATCAACAAACAGTGCAGGGAGCAACTTACGGATAGGTGGAAATACCAGGCAACGAACCCGGATTTTCAGCAACATAAATCCCCGACACCAAACGGGGGCAAGAGCAACCAGGATAACCGAAACTTTGAGCCGATAAGCCGCGACAAAGGCAAACCGACAGATCAGCCAGAGTCTTCAGTGAAGAGACATAACCAAAAGGAAAAGGGATTCGACCTCAAAGAACTTCTTGATCAAGCCGACTCACCATTCACGGAGGAGATCATGAAAGAGAAGGTCCCTCCAAAATTCAATCTACCCACGGTGAAACAATTCGACGGGACGACCGACCCAGTGGACCATCTAGATGTTTATCTTGAATGGATGGATATCTACGGGGTGTCAGAGGCGGTCAGGTATCGGGTATTCTCGACTACATTAAACGAGTCAGCCAGAATATGGTTCCGACAATTAAAACGAGGGTCAATCTCGAGTTTCAAGAGCCTGGCCAGAGCATTCGTGACCCAGTTTGTAGGGGGACGGTGTCGGAGCCGACCCGTGGCTTATCTTTTAACTATTAAACAGAGGACGACAGAGAGTCTACACGACTATGTAGCTCGGTTCAACGAGGAAAAGCTGCAGGTAGAAGGCCTTACAGACGTTGTATCTCTGCTGGCCTTCATGTCCGGCATCAAGGATGAGCATTTGTCATTTTCGTTCAGAAAGAAAACACCAAGTACCTTCTCGGAGGCGCTGAACCGAGCTTAGAGGTACATGAGCGCTGGTGAGTTCTTTTACTCAAAAAAGGAGCCAGACGAAAAGTAAACCGACCAAAAGAGGGAAAGGTTGGGAGATAAACCACAGAGGTCGAGATGAGAGAAGAGGGATCGGAGTAGCCTGAAAGATCCACCCCGAAAATTTGAAATGTATACCCTGACCACCATTCCACTCGAGCAAGTGCTGATGGAGATCAAAGACCAAAGGTTGCTTAAGTGGCCGGAGAGGATGAAAGCCCCGTCAACTAAACGAAGTAAAGGCCGATATTGCCTTTTCCACCGGGATCACGACCATGCAACTCAGGATTGTTTTGATCTCAAGGAAGAGGTGGAAGGGCTAATCCGAAGGGGCTACCTCAAAGAGTATGTAGAGGACTCTAAAGTGACACAAAACGGCAAAAGCGACAAATCCCCTGCTCGAGAGATTCAAACTATAATGGGAGACCCAATAGAGAGAGAATCTGGGAGAAAAAGAAGGCAGATGTGCGAGAAGCTAGGGCGAACCGCGAACAAAATGAGGTCTACCACGCGTATATTACAGACCGACCGGTGACGATCGAGTTTTCAGAGGACGAGGCGACTCAACTCTTCCACTCTCATAACGATGCACTGGTTATCACTTTGAAGATAGCAAATGTGAAAGTACATCGAATTTTGGTGGATGGGGGCAGCTCGGCGGATATCATCTCCTGGACAGCCTATAAAGCTATGGATCTAGAAGAAAAGGTGCTCAAGAGCAGCCCAGCACCGTTGGTAGGATTTGGAGGGGAACGTGTCATTTCCGAAGGGAGGATAGAATTACCTGTAACGTTCGGAAGCGGGCCGAAAGGTGTCACCAAGATGGTGGACTTTTTGGTCGTTAACTACACATCCTCCTACAACGAAATATTAGGAAGACTGACAATGCATATGCTCAAAGTGATACCATCCACATACCACCAGTCCATGAAGTTCCCAACACCAGGTGGAGTARAAGAGATTAAAGGAGAACAACGAGTGTCGCGGGAATGCTACTATACCTCAATGAGGGGCAACGACAGGACTTCTACTAAGGGGGGCTGTTGATCTTTCCTTTTTTCCTTCAAGTGTGGTTGTTTTTGTTTCTCTACATTTAGCAAGATTTCTGATTATTATTTCTTTTATTCAATAAAGTATCCATTTTTTTGGTTCTCTATCAACTATGTCTTCTAAATCCAAAACCAGATGGCAAGCGACTTTGATAAAACACATTGCCTCGTCTACAAGCGTACTCTCAAAAGATATCGACAATACACTACCTTGAGAGTAGGGGAAATAGGTACCGACTACTCGGCAACGTGAGCTTGGTAAATCCAACTCTACACGACGACGGTAAAACCAGCTCCAGCCGAGCAGGGCTCAGGGCCAACCACTGCTCGGGTCCGACCACTACTCGGCGTCGACCAACTGCGAACGGGCACAAATCTACATTAATCGGCAATTTTGAACTATGAGATAACCATTTGGTAGCCTATTTTTGTCAATAGGTCTTATTTTCGACTGAGTAGGGCTCGGGTCCGACAACCACTTGACGTCGACCACGTGCGATGGGACACGAATCTACTTTAATCGATACATTTGGAAAGAACAATTAAACAATCTCAACACTGCCAAACCAGAAGTGGGTCGATTGACCTAGCACGGTTAAAACATGAGATGGAGTAAAAAGCCAACAGTAGGTATAAAACCATTGGCTATGGCCAACGGGTTAGAAACCTACGGAAATGAAAGCAACAAAACCCCATTTAGAGCCGTGAGCTAATAAGTGATTGGTAAGAGGGTTAATTGATAATTCCAAAAAGAAATACAAGCAACGTAGTGACAAAGCACATAAAAGTCGATCGGATACTAAACACAGTAAAGCGACTCGCTCAAGCTACCCTATTACTCGTCATCATCGTCATCCATGTCGTTAGGAGCGTCACGCTCGGCTCTAAAACGCTCCGGGAGGAAGGAAATGTCAATGTCAGGGTGTTGAGTAGAAACCTGGCGAAGAAACCAGAAAACACCGCACTCCATGGCAGAGTTTTGCAGGTCGACGTACTCCTGAGTTTTCTTGAATTCTCTGGCCAAGAATTCAGAATTAAAGAGTCGAGCGTTGACCTCGTCAAGTCTCCTCTGCAGGTTAGCCAGCTCGTCTCGAGATTTTCTCTTCTCCATTTCCAACTTACGTTGGGTACCCTCCAGAAGGCTGTTGGCCTGGTTCAAGGAAGAAATGGCCTGTTCCAGCTTCTCCCGAGGGGTATAATGACAGCGGAGGTGGTTAATTTCATCAGCAACCCAACCCGAGAATACCACCAGACGATTGAAAATCTGCCAAGGACAGAATTCGACATTAGGAGAGGATGCTATGACAAATACTTGAAGCTACAAAGCACTCACCTGGTGGAGATCACTAAGCCACGTGCTGATACTGTGGTGAGGATTTGACAGGCCAAAATCCGACCAGCTTGATGAGTCGTCGAGGCCCTGCCAAAGACTAAGTGCTCTTTCCAGGTAAGTTGTCCAGTCAGCGTCAGCATTATATGGGCCAGAGAAAGGGAAGATTGAGGCTTGAGAGGAGCTCCCTGGATGACTTCGAGGGGAGGATGGGATAGACGTCCCATGAAGTCAGGCGAAACGCCTCGGAGCTATCGGAGGCATGGAAGATCGAGCATGTTGTGAAGGGAGCCCCTCCTCGGTCAAATCAGTCACTTCGATATCCGAAGCCCGACCAGAGCCGGCCTCCAAACTTCGGGCATCTCGACGATGCTCTCTTTCATACAAGGAAGCACTTCGTCTCAACATTTCTACAAATAAAGATAAAGGTAAAAAGCGACGTTCATGCAAAGTGAAGAGAGGATTTCGACAAAGACCTGGAGGGTTATGTGGGAGAGCCAAGCCAAAATCTACTAAGTTTTGCTCCGTAACCAAATCTGGGCCCCAACGCTCGATATCCGGTAACTGGATAACGGTATGATAGAAAGTGGACGCCTCGTTGGTAAGCTCACAATTGCGGGAAACTGCCAACAAGAAAAGGGATATCAGAATCGATATCTACGAAAGTCCCGATGGAGCTCGGAAGCTACTTACCCAACTCCCTACACTCGGTCGGGACGGGAAAATACAACCCTCTCTCGTCACGGGCTAGCTAGTCACCACCAACAAAGAACCATTCGTTCTTCCAATGCTTCACTAAGGACGGACCCATAACAAGAACTTGGTTCCGGGAGCTAACATAAAAATGAAAGTTATCCTCAGGGCTATGTTTGAGGTAATAAAGCGACATAAAGTCCGCGGCCGTTAGAGGCTGCTTGCCCCTGAGGTACGACCACAAAATAAAGCAACTGATCAAAGTAGACCGCCCATTTGGGACGATTTGGGAAGGAGCTACTTGATTAAAAGCTAAAAAGTTTTGAAGGAAAAGAGGCAACGGTAGGCAGACTCCAAATTAGAACATCGCGGCATAAAATATACCTCACCGGGAAAGGAGCCATTAATACTCTCTCCCGGATTCGGAAGACGGAGGCTAACCGAATCCGGGATACGGTATTTCGAACGCAAGAGACGCAAGTTCTTCGTCGTAAGAGTGGAGTTATCCATCCAAAACGGACGATAGGACTGAGATTCTGACGAAGGGTGCGACGATGACCCATCATCCGATGAGCTCCATTCGAAATTAATGCTAGCCATAAAAAAACACAACAA